GTTGTTATGATGCAAGTAGGTCCAGAGTGCGATGAGAGGGTCACCTGATGCTCTCACACTATCGTCAACTCCAAATCCTATAAAAAATGTAAGTACCATTTTCACTCTGATGCTCTCAGCAAACGGGTAATATCTTTGCACTTTTCGGGTTCAATAGTTTAGGTAATTCAGCACCTGGGATCTCCTGGCACCGTGACAACTTGGTACCATAAGTTGTTATGGTACCAAGTGTCCCTTTAAACAAATGCTGCAAGCAAAATTATATCCCCCATCCTAGTTAATGTTCTACCAAGACAAATGAACACCTATAAACAAAACAGTTGATACTGCATATCAAGATTAAAATGAACTAGGTATATAGTTATAGTTGCTTGTGAATGTTAGAAGTGTGAATGTTCCTAAAAGACAAATAACTAAGGCTGTCCATGTGCAAAGTAAAGCTGAAGCACTGTAGTATAGGCCAAACGTGCAGCCATGAGAACATTTAAATACTTGTTCACACTGCAATTTATCAGGTACTTCTATGTTTGGTGTCCAAAAAGCAGGAAACTCTAGAATGGCAGGACAGTGACTCATAAGAATATGCCATTTTGCACCACAGCCAGAGGCAATAGTGTGTGAGAAAGAATGTTTACATTGTTACATGATAATCTAGGTTGTAATAAGAGCCTAGTCCAGTGAGTTCAACATTTAAAACACATTTTTTTAATCCTGTTGATCCAAAAGAAGGCAGAATTATAGTTTGATCACATAAATCAATACCACTATTTATACAAGACAGCACCTTACCAACCTCGCAATGGCAGACTGGCATTGTATACTGTTGCCAGTTTGTTACTGACAATTGCTCCCAGAAGGGCTGATCCTTGGTGGGTGCACTGCTCCCAGGCGCCAGAAGGGAGAGGGAGCTAATAGGAGTAGAACAATGGCGGAACTACTGGGGTTGCGAGAACCGCTGGGCACTTGTGTTCCGCCTAAGGTGTTGTCTGGCTTAATCACAAAGGCACCTGCCCCCTGAATGCAGGGCTGGCGGAATTTGGGGTGCACCAGCCCGGGGGGGCGCTTGATCCGAGTGACTGTCAGGAGGAGGGCGCACAGCGCTCCCTCCTGCCAAGCACTCTGTGTAGCATGGCCGAGCAGAGCAGTGCGCACCGCTGTACAGGCAGGAACTTCTGTTTCCTGTACCTGGCCGGACTGAAAGGAAGTGCTTACTGAGAGAGCGCTTCCTGTCAGTCCGGCCGGGTACAGGAAACAGAAGTTCCTGAACTGCGGTCTGCTCTGCTTGGCCACGCTACAATAAAGGTAGGAGACTTATTGGGGACCAAGGGGGTGAGAGAGAGGAGCACTAAGGGATGGGGGGTAGATAAGGAACACTATGGGACAGGTGAGAGTGGTGGAAAAAACACTATGGGACAGGGGAGGGGGGAAAAGAACACTATGGGAAGGGGGGAGAACACTATGAAACAGGGGAGGGGGGGAAGAACACTATGGGGAGGAGGGGAAAGAACACTATGGGACAGGGGAGAGGGTGGTAAGCAACACTATGGTACAGGGGCGGTGATAAGGAACACTATGGGACAGGGGAGGGAAAGGAACACTTTATGGGCCGGGGAGGGAGAGAACACTATGGGATGGGAGGAACACTGTACAGGGACAGGAGGGGGAGAACACTATGGGATGTGGGAGGGAGAACACTATGGGATGGGAGGAACACTATGGGACAGGGGAGGGGGGGAAGAACACTATGAGGGAAGGGTGAAAGAACACTATGGGGGAGGAGCAGTAGAACACTACTGGGGGAAGAAGACTATGGGGGAGGGAGGAAAGAACACTATGGGGGAAAGAACACAAAAAAGAGGGAGGGAAGAGGAACATTAAGGGGGGGCACTAAAGGGAAATGGGGGTTACCACCAAGAAAGAAGGGAGAGGAACATTAAGGGATATGGGGGAAACTAAAAGACAGGTAAGAGGGGGGAGAGGAACACTAACGGACATGGAGGGGAGGAGAGAGGAACACTAAGGGACATGGAGGGGAGAGTGGCACATAGGGGGGCCTTAGTGGGGAGAAAGACATACAGAGGGACATGAGGGGGGTGAGACACACAAATGGGCCTGGGGGTGAGAAAGTTCACAGAGGGGCTGGGGATTAAAGCGACACACAGAAGGGCCTGGGTGTGGAAACACAAAGGGGCTGGGGGTGATAGAGACACAGAGGGTCTGGAGAAGAGGAAAAAGAGACAGAGGGGCTGGGAGATAGAGAGCTGGTGTAACACACAAAGGAGCAGGTAAGAGTAAAAGACACAAAGGGGCTGGGAAACACACAAAGGATCTGGTAAGAGTAAAAGAGAAACACACAATGGAGCTGGTAAGAGTAAAAGACACAAAGGGGCTGGGAGAGCAGGAGAAACACAAAGGGACTGGGTTGAGTATGATACACAAAGTGGGGTTGTAAGAGATACACAAGGGAGTTGTAAGACACACAATGGGGAAAATAGGGGATAAGATACACTGAAGGGGATAAGACATTTAAATAAGGATAAGAGGTGCGGGGCAGGACCGCCATGCTAACCGGTCGCATGCAGGAGAAGCTCCGGGGAAACCCACCCTTTTGGGCTACGTACAGCGGAATTTCGCACACAAAACGAGTCTACAAGACACCCATAGCTGTGGGAGCGGCGGCAGACCCAGAGATTGGGAGTTCTGATCCTCTGAAGGGGGCACAGAGCTTCGAGGGCTGCAGCCTACCCGGAAGGGGAGCATGGTGGACGGCCGCTGCTGCGTCTCCCTCCCCTGCTACCACAAGCTGACTGCCAGAGTTGCTAGCCAGCCCTGTTTCCCCCCCCCCCTTTGGACCGGTGGGGTCATCCCGGTCCCCACTGAGGAGAGCCTGAGACCTGAGACGGGCGGGGCTGAGGCGCACAGAACCCTCGAACTGCGGGGGATGTAAGGAAGTGAAATGGTTAACTCTTTTTGCTTTATATGCTTTAAAATAATGTTTGAAATAATTATGCTGACTTTGGCAGATGTATTTTGTACCAAGGTCTTTCCTCTACAGGATGTATGACCTTCCTTGACCTTAGGATGTTCCTGTCTCGTCTTCATCCAAATGCTTATCTTTTTCATGTCCGACAAGTATGTACTATTAACCACAAGGACACTATAGACTTCACTGCTTGCATGAGAAATTGTGTATAAATGCTAGCCCTGAAAATATACTCATTGAGAACTTGTTATGCACTATTTCGTGTCTGTGTGTCTTATTTGCTAAACAAGATCTCCCATCAATTGATGTGGTGATCGAAGGAGCGAGAATCGAGGGGAGTTGAGTCCAGAACAGCATTTATCCTTTCAGCTTGGTGTCAGAAGTGGGATCAGCAAAACCATTGGGTGAGTAGCCTTTTTGTGTCTTATTGACGCTAATTGTCTATGACCCCCTTTGGTTTAGTAAGTCTGTATCCAGTAGAAAGGAAAGGTATAAGGACTTAGTTATATTGAGACTGTAAATAGGTCTCCGGTTTATTAGACATTTGGTCTAAATATATATAGGGTTTTGGTAACCCAGGTTAGTATCTAAGATAGATACAGGGTATCTCAGGTAGATACAGGTTTTGAGACTATAAAGGAGTCTCCGGTTTATTAATACTATAAGTGTTCTAGGGAACACGGTTCATAGATCTAGAATAACCCAAACTTCTCGTTCCTTTGGTCATCCTGTGTCTGCTTTGTGTTTATTTTGCTTGTTAAGTAGAGACACACTATTGGTAAGTAGGTAGTGTCTCTACCCTGAGCCAGAAATATGGGAAATAATCAGTCTATTTCTTACCCTTTACCCCACCCAGGGGAGTCATGTCTAAATTATGTTACTAGAATAGGAGCACAAGGAGGATTTCTTACAATCCCCTTTGTGTCAAATTTAGCAGGATGGACAGAGACTATGAAGTCATCTGATCCTTTTCCCAGGTCTGGGGCTAATGATGATTTCCATATGAATATGATTCGAGGATTGTGTTTGGGAGATAGGAAGTCATGGCCGTGGTATGGTCCTGATCCAGATTGGGATAAGGAATATATGAAAGCAGGAGGTGAAAATTGGTTGCTGATAGCCCCTCATTGGTTTCCTTGTAGTGTAACAGGAAAGGTTTTAAAGGGAGCTAAGAAACACCTGGCTAAGAGAAAGGGAACTGTTGACAGTAATACTATTTGCTTTTCTATAGAAGCCCCTCCTGATAATTTATATCCACCACCAACTGTGCCCCCTACCCAGTTAGCCCCCGGCCATGCCCAACCACAACCCCCACCTCCCTATAAAGCAATGTATCCTGCTGTACCTAATGCCCCCTCAGAGGATGATATAGAGGATATTTCTGTTGCTGCAGCTGTTAATTCACAATCACAGCAATTACAGGAATCATCATCTACACCAGATTCTGATATAGAATACCCACCGCCACCTCCTGGTACAGTTAAATTAACAGTACAAACAGGAGTTAAACTTAAAAGTGGCAAGGTGTTAAAATCATATGTACATAAGCAAGATGATGATGATGTAGAGATGCCAGAATTAGAAGGTGCTGATCTTACTGCCCCGTTTATGACTGTTGGTAATCAGTTAATAATGAAACCCATTAATCCCGGAGTACTCAAGGATATTATTCAAGGTGCCCCAAACCCCCGTACTAATCCCTCTGCATGCCTAATGTATCTGAAAAGAATGTGTTTAGGACAGAACATGACACAGATAGACATACAGTTAATTATAAATGGAATATTAGGGTATGATTCAGATTCTGGTTGGAATTGGTCTAATGTACCCTCTATCAGTGAGACAGATAACGGTACTGGAGTTGGAGTGGCTGGCAGTGATGGTGTTTATGAGCTTAGTACTTCAGCAGGATGTGCTAAAATGTGGGATGAGGTGGAAGCTGAAATGTTGAGATTATGGAAGAATAAGCAGTCTATATCCACTGCTTTGGCATGTAAGCAAGGTGCAAAGGAAGAGATTGGTGTTTTTGTAAAGAGATTTTACAAGTGTTGGAAGGATGAGGCAGGTTTGAAGTCTGGAGATGATATGGATCTCCTTAAAATACAGTTATGCCTTGGTAATATGTTGCCACAGTATTCTTTGCTTGTGAAACAGTTGATTTCAGACTGGGCCAATTTGGGTGGCTCAGATTTTCTTACCAAGGTTATTGAGAAGGAAAATGCAGGTTGTTTTGATTTAAGAAAAGATTCAGGAAGTAAGGTTGCTTATTATGCTCAGGGATTGCAACACTGTCCACCTACACAGGCCCGAGAGAGAGGATGGGATGGAGCACATAGAGCCTGTGGAAGGGGTGGTCAAAGAGGGGCAAGGGATGGAGACAGGGAAATCAGGGTTATAGGGGCAGGGGTAACCAAGGAGGAATAGACAGGAACACTTGTTTCAACTGTGGCCAGCATGGCCACTGGAGGAATGAGTGTCCACACCCCAGGAAACCCCAGCAGCCCCAACAATCCCACAATTTTCAAAATACGCACGGTAGGCAAGAACAACACCAGGCCCACTCCCAACACCACTGGCCAGCACTTCCCTCTCCCCCCCCCGCTCCAGCAAACCCAAACTGCATTAGGGCCATTCACAGGTACCACTGACCAGCACACCCATCACTTCCCATGGCCCCAATAGGGCTGCCTTGAAGGTGACACTCCAACTTTTCCACTTTTGTCCTTTACTAATGATGATCAGCCTTTTTGTATTCTGGTCATAGAAGGTAGATCCTTGCCATTTTTGGGAGATACTGGAGCTACGTGTTCCAGTCTCTGTGATACCTATTATCAGGGGACAAGGGAAAAGTCTACACCTTCATTGGGTATTAATGGAGTGTCAACCCCCACTTTTGTCACACCACCACTGTCTGTTTTTTGTAATCTTAATGGTTCTTCTACCGTGCACCCTTTTCGTTTAATACCTAAATGTCCTGTCAATTTGCTGGGAAGGGATCTTCTTGGTATTCTGGGAGCTACTATTACTTGCACGCCCTCTGGTGGTATTGATGTGTCTATGTTGTGTTCTGAAACTATTGATTTGTCTGATGTTCCTTCTTCTGTGTGGGCTTCATCTAAGTTAGATGTAGGATTTGTCAACTGCACCCCTTACAAAGCCAAACTAAAACCAGCTGTAACTCCTATCTACCTTAAACAGTACCCCCTGTCAGAAGCCAAGGTTGAGGGAGTTCGCCCCATGATCCAATCTTTTCTAGAGCAGGGAATACTAAAGCCAGTAGTTTCTCCATATAACACACCTATTAATCCAGTTCCTAAAGGTAATGGTTATCGCTTAGTTCAGGATTTTAGAGCCCTGAATAGTTTAATTGTGCCCATTGCACCCATTGTCCCTGATGTGACATCCCTCATTACAGCCATTCCACATGATGCCACTTGCTTCACTGTCATTGATTTAAGTAATGCATTTTTTTCTATACCTATTGATCAAGAGACACAGCTACTTGTGGCTTTTACTTTTGAAGGCTGTCAGTATACCTGGACACGTTTACCCCAAGGCTATGTGGATTCCCCAGCCGTTTATTCGCTGGTACTCCAACATACTCTAAAAACATGGACCCCCGGTCATGGTTCCGTCCTTTTGCAATATGTTGATGACTTATTGTTATGTAGCCCTAGCTATGAGGCAAGCACTGTGGATACTGTCAATTTGCTCAAACACTTAGCAACTGTGGGTCACAAGGTTGCAAAACACAAAATGCAATTGTGTAAATCAAAGGTTGATTACTTAGGTTTTGTTCTGGCTTCAGGCACCAGACAATTGAGTCCAAAACGTATTGAGGTCATTCAGAGGATTCCTAAACCCACTACTCGGAAGGAGTTGCTCACCTTCCTCGGCATGATTAATTACTGCCGCCAATGGATCCCTGAATGCTCCCATTATGACTCAATCCTAAGGGAGGCTGTACGTTCTGACAGCCCTGAAAATGTCTGCTGGTCACCAGACATGCTAGCTGCGTATATTGCTCTCAAAGTTGCTATTGTACAAGCCCCGGCTTTAGGACTACCTGTGTATTGTAAACCATTTCATTTGTATGCTCGGGACAACTGTAAAACCATGGCCGCGGTCTGTGCACAAGAGCACGGAGGCGGTATGCGTCCCATAGCATTCTTTTCCAAAGTAGTTCCAGCTCCGGTACAGGGTATGCCGGCGTGTCTCAGAGCATTGGCAGCATGTGCAATGGCTGTTGAGACTGCAACTACTATCACACTAGGGCATCCTACAATACTCCATACCAGTCACCAGGTTACTCAGCTTATAAAAAATCTCACCACACAACACATGACAGCCCAGCGCTTAAGTGGTTATGAGATTATTCTTCTTAATACCCAGAATCTGTCTATTGTTTATAGTCCTGTTAATTCTGGTCCTATGTCTGTTTTGCATGCTATTCTCACTTCTGCATCTGACTCTGTGTCTATACCATCTGAGCCTCATAATTGCATTGAACAAATACATATTGCCACATCTCCCAGAGCAGACCTCTCCTCCACAGCACTCAGTGGCCCGGATGTGACCACTGTCTTTGTGGATGGCTCTTCATTGAAGCTGACACTATTTTCCAGCCGTCTGCACAAGCTGCAGAACTCAATGCTCTCACACGTGCCTGTCAGCTTTTCTCAGGACAGCGAGTGAACATTTACACAGACTCACGATATGCTCATGGGGTAGTGCATGATTTTGGTGTGATTTGGAAACAAAGAGGCTTTGTAGGAGCCGATGGAAAAGCCATTTCACACACAAATCTCATCCAATCACTCCTAGATGCTATCCTACTCCCATCTGAAGTAGCTGTTATCCACTGCAAGGCACACACTCTGGGTAGTGACGACATTTCCAGAGGTAATGCCTTGGCTGACAAAGTGGCAAAAGAAGTTGCAGCCAAGACTCTTTATTATGAAATGTTTCCTGCTATGCTCACACCTCCCACATGCCCGACTGACAGTTTGCTATTGCAGCTCCAAGCCTTTGCAACGCAATCTGACTTTGATTTTTGGATTAAACAAGGTTTAGGAAAAGATCAGAATGATCTTTTCTCTAGAGAGGGGAAGATAGGCATACCTGAAGCCAGCTGTTTTATCTTTATCAGTCAGGCCCATGGTCCTGGCCACAAGAGCATAGCAAGTACCATCCAATTCCTCATGAATTCATTTTATATTAGGAATCTCAGGCAGCATGTACAGTCTTTTGTTAGATTGTGTGAACCATGTATGAGAACACATCCGAATATTCCACACAAATCAAAGCACGAACATTTGCCCCCTCCAGCTGCTCCTTTTACACACTTACAGATTGATTTTACTCATGTACCCAAAATTGGTAAGAAACAGCAATACTTACTGGTCATAGTTGATCAGTTTAGTAGATGGCCTGAGGCCTTTGTGACATCTAGGGAGGATGCTAGGACGGTAGTGAAGATTCTTGCTACTGAAATTATTCCCAGGTATGGCTGCCCTCTGCAGATTAACTCTGATAATGGCCCGGCTTTTGCTAGTAAGGTTACCCAGGAACTTGCTAAATTCTTGCAAGTTACCTGGAAGTTTCATATACCCTATCATCCACAGAGTTCAGGGGTAGTTGAAAGGATGAATAGGACCATTAAGGAGAAGCTTATGAAAGCTACTGCAGGAACATGGGTAAATTGGACAAAATATCTTCCAGCTATTTTAGCTGAGATAAGAATGACTCCTCACAAGGTGACTAAATTATCTCCATTTGAGATTCTGATGGGGCAACCTTTTCCCACACCCTGGGCCAGGGAACCGCTTGTTATAATGTCTGGGGATTTACAGCTAATACAAGAACAATATGTACAGGAATTGTTGATAAAACTGAATGGTATATATGGCAATGTTTCTTCGCAGTTTCCCTTACCTTCACAGGAACCTACTCATCCATACCAGCCTGGTGACAAGGTGTATATCAGTCAGCTGAATAGGACCAAGAAAGGAGGATACCCTTTCGGACCACCTGCTACTGTGATTGCTGTAACCAGAACCGCTGTCCTCACAGATTCCCACGACATCTGGATTCACGCATCCCGAGTGAAGCTGTGTCCAAAGAGGGGAACCAAGGAAGACAACACCACTCCTCACTCAGAAAGAGAAGAATTTCCCCTTAGCGAAGCATCATGGCTTTCACACCATATCGTAGATTGAGAGGATCATACGAACCTGAGACCAAGATTATGTTGTGCGCTATGCTTTCTGGAGTTGTTATACTCCCTCTGATATTATTCCTTGAATGCCATTATAAGTACAAGTCAATGGGAAGTTTGAAACCTGTTTGTTTCTGGAGAAATGACTCTGACATGATGAACAATTCTTCAATACCCCCAGCCCAATTAGGCCTTAGCCCCTCATCTAGCACTCGTCACACACGCTCCCTCAAGAACCTTTCTCCACCACCTATCTATCAGCATGTAATATGCAAGCACTCATTGACTGAACACATATGGATGAACTGGATAAATAATAACCCTTATAAGTACCAGTTACCCATATGGAATGTGTCCACAGCTAATGAAACCGATGCATTATGTTTGTTTGAAGGTTCACGGAAAATTGTTAGATCTTATAACGCAGAAATGTGCACAGTTAAGGTTGCTAATTACACCAGCATCTGTGCCACCTTATTTAATATAAGTTCTGATGGTAAAAAAAAAAAAAACACCTAAACAGGTTTGGGATATATATTATAAGAAAATTAGTAAGGTTGCATATCAATGTAAACAGACAGGCCTTATTATTTTTAATAATGATTATACAACTGGTACCATTAATTGGAAAAGGGGACAAATGTTAGTCATTATGAATGACACTGTGATTGAGAACTGTACACTATCTTATATTTTTACACCTTATTACTGTCCTTCATCCACTATCATAGAACCAAAAGTCAACCACGACACACACACACCTATTCCGTCCACATGTGTTAATACAACTGCCTTCTTACAAGCTGTACATGTGTCATTAAAAATCACTACTCCTGTTGTAACAATATGTAACACAGCAAACAAAAGGCAGAAAAGGGAATGGTATGACACACTGTTAGGAGGTGCTGGAACCATTATGGGTATACTAAATAGTATAGACATGGAGACCCTCAAGAATAAGTTAAACACGGCCAGCATGCATATAGGGACTGGTTTCCATGCTACTGCAAACTGGGCTCCAATTGTTGTTAAATCACAGGTTACAGGATTGGATTTAGATACATCAATGTATAACTATTTAGGTAATTTAACTGTTGCAACTATGAAATTCACTACAGATCTTGGTAACTGGAGTACTTGTGCCATCAGGTATTTATGGATGCAACAACAAAGACTGGCATTAGAAGACACACTAATGATTCCTAAACTAGAGAAGATTAGAGGGATGCTTGACCTCACAGATAATGAATGGTTACTTCTAAAACCCCAATCCACTAAATGCAATGAATGGTTAACTGGTAATGTTTCACATTTTTCATGCTCATGCTATTTTACACTATATCATACATCATCAAAGGATGTTAAATTAGCTTGTCAATTTAACACATTACCAGTACCAGTTTATGATCTCTTTACCAGGAATTTAACCTGGTGGGCACCCACATACACAGGGGACTATATTTTCCCCAAAGATAATATGACCTATTCCCTTAAACACTGTGTTCTCACTGACAAAGGATATGCATGTTGACACTCGTCCCCTATTTATGAACCATGCTTACTCCAAAATGAACTTAACAAGTGCATATGGCACATATATCCTGAAAATTATTTTACCATGACTGAAATAAGCACACGACATATCTGTTTGGCAACTAACCTCCCTACAAAGATAATTACTAGTAATACAAGTATTAATCTACCTCTCCCCTTTTCAGGATGTTTGACTAATGTCACCTGGTTAGATCTTAATGACACCCAATATTATTTCAGCGACACAATCACTTTAGACAAACATATTAATGCCCTATTAGTCTCTCTGCCTTTTAAAGATTACCATCTACCTCTTGAGACTATTGTCTCCTTAATGAAAGGAAAACAAAATATGTTTAAACATCTTGTTACACATAATGATGCTATAGTACACACACAGGTAGCCACACATATCCTAAAAGGAGAACTCCTTAAGGTGAGTTCACAAATTCAGAATGATTTAGCCCATCATTGGTACAATGCTTTTACAGGTTGGTCCCCTACTGGATCCCAGATAATGAAATCATTCTTCTATCCTCTTGTTATTATAGTCCTGATTGTATTGGGTA